TAATTTTGGGTGATAGTCCCCAGCTTTTGCCGAGTAGCCGCTTGCATTGGCAGAAAATAATGCAGGCTTTATTCAGTTTTTCATCGAGGTGCTTATTCCACAGGAGTTTACTGTCCAGTATTACTCCTAGGTATTTGACCTCTTTGGTAAGAGTAAGTTGTGTTCCAAATAGCTTGGGAAGTCTGAGATTTCCTAGGCTGCGTTTGTTTGTGAACATGATCATCTCTGTTTTGGATGGGTTCACTGTCAGGTTGTGTGCTGCGCACCATTGTTCCACGATCTTCAGTGCAAGTCTCATTTGATCGCATGTAATGCTTTCAAAAGGACCGCTGATGAGAATGGTTCTTACCATGAGATTCCTCACAATAGGCTATGCAGACGATCTTTCGTCTGCATAGCCTATTGTGAGGAATCTTTGGTCATTAAGTTGTGCGATGAGCTCATCCACAACAATGTTCCATAGAAGGGGGGAGAGTACACCGCCCTGGGGGCAACCTCTAGCCACCACTCCTCTAGTCACTTCGCTCACAGTGAATTGTATAGCTCTATATCTTAGCATGCTGTCGATCCACCCTGAGATTGTGGAATCAACACCATGCCTAGACAGAGCTTGGCTAATGCTGGTGAAGTTGGTCTTGTCAAAGGCTCCCTCGATATCGATAAAGGTGGCCAGTGTTGACCTTTTGTGATTTAGATTATCTTCTATATATGAAACAACTCGATGTAGGGCAGATTCTGTTGATTTACCCATCGAGTATGCGTGTTGATTGAGGTGTAGAGGATGACTGACTAACGCAGTTTCCCTGATTTCCCTATCTATTAGCCTCTCAAGAACCTTTAGTAGGAAAGATGTGAGACTAATAGGTCGGTGTGATTTGGGTTGTGTGTAGTCACCTTTACCAGGTTTGGGGATGAAGACTACTTTAACTTCTCTCCATTTCAAGGGGATGTACTGATGCGCCAGGCAGCCCCTATAGATTTTTATAAGATGGTCCAGTAATGTCGTATCACACCATCTCAGTAGGCCTGGGAAGACACCATCTAGTCCTGGCGCCTTGAATGGTAGGAAGCTGTTAATTGCCCATCTTAGTTTGTCATGGGTGACAACTTTGCGGGCCGTATCCCAGTCTGTATCATCTGGTGGTTTTTCCCATCTGTCTTCCCATTTTTCCATCACATCTGATATGCGACATCCAGGGAAGTGTGTTTTTAATAACAGCTCTGAGGCTTCCGAGTCTGTTTTGGTATACTCACCATCAGGCTTCTTCAGTGAGCCAAGATTGTGTTCGCCTCTACTACACAGTATGCTTTTGACTCTATTGGCCTGGTTGTTGTTCTCTATGTTAGTACAGAAGTTTCTCCAGCACTCAGTTTTCCTGGTTCTGATTCTCTTCTTATATTGTTGTCGGGCCTGCGTGTAGGCATCCCAATGTTGGTCTAATCGCGAGTTTTTTGCTTTATTGAACAACTTTCTCACTTTACGACGTAGTCTTTCCAGTTCCGGACCCCACCATTGGTGTTTGTTCTGTGGTCCAGTTCTGGGTGTGGAAAGTGGGCATGTTTGTTCAAAGCAATCGATCAGTGTCTGTGTAAGGTTGACAACATGACTGTCAATGTCCTTAACAGTCCCCGTAGCGTATGTTGGGTTGATGCTTCGCAGATTCTCCGCAGTAAGATGTTCATACCGTTTCCGGTCCATCGTGCGGGGATTCCGTCGGGGATCGGGTAGTTTAAGTTTCATTTCAAAGTTAAATTTGATCCAGCGATGGTCTGAGCACGATGCTTCGTTCGAAACATGCCAGTTCGATATGTGTTGCGATGCGTGCTCACTTGCTAATGTAAGATCAATTATAGTTTGGGCCCTGGACGTGACAAATGTCGGCTCCGAGCCCACGTTGATAATGTTAAGGTTAGTTGATAATAGGAACGATACAAATTCCTCACCTCTCCGGTTGTTGCTCCTGCTGCCCCACAGCGCATGGTGCGCGTTGGTGTCGGCAGAGATGATCAGCTCCAGACCCTCGCGCTCGCAGTGGTGTGCCAGCGCAGCCAGCTCCGGAGTGGGGATGTCAGCATCGCCCGGCAAGTAGGCTGATGCTATCACCACGTCAGGCAGGTTTGATGAGGGTTCCTTTAACCTAATAGAGGTAAGGTCTCTGGAACAGAACTCGGTCATTAAGGTAGTACACGCATGTTTTGGTGTATAAATACAAGTGCGCGGGTTATCAATGGTAGTGTTTAGAAGTATCTTACCTCCAATATTATTTAGACCGCAGATCCTGCCCTTCCTAATCCACGGCTCCTGGATTAGGGCTACGGTGTTGGTTTTTACCTCCAGCTCTCTGCGTAGGGTAGCCGTTGCTGTATAGCTGTGCTGGAGGTTGGTTTGGATGGCTATAAGGGTGTTATGGGGGGGTGCAGACAGCGCCATCATCGCTGTTCAGCATATCCTCTATGTCGTCGAGGTCACTCTCGCCCACCGGTAGGTCCTCCAACTCCTCAGTAGGTGGACCCCGGCAGGCTGTCTCCTCAACGGGTCTCAGAGGATCCCCTCCATTGCCGTCCTTAGGGTGTTGTAGGGCCGATTCTCCTCCTCCCTCGAATGGCTCCTCGTTTGGGTTAGTTGGTGGGGCGGGACGTTCATCAAGGAAGCGAACGTAGAGGTTACCCAGTTTGTAGTATACTCTACGCTCGCTAGCCTTGAGCTTCACGACGTCCTCTTCTGGGATGCCGAGCACTAGGAAGAGACATTTCTTTTCCTCCTGCGCCTCGGCATGGTAGAGGGCCCAGTTGGCCACATTGTACTGGCTATTCTGGTACTTTAGCCTCGTTTGAATACGGACCAGTGTATCATCTGGTCCGATTTGTGGTACCAGGAGTCCAGCCTTGATCCTTTTCGGGATCTCAGACTGCCTCCTGACGACCAGTTTGGTGCCTTCACGTGGTGATGGGATCCTTACCAGGGATCGGCGAAGCCACTGTAGGGCATATTCGTCGTTGCACCACATCTTAAGGGCGCCCTCACTGTAGAAGGCCTTGCCCCTAAACTGTGGCGCAGCGACGGGTGCGCTTGACGTGCCGGGCGAGAAGATCTCCTCATCTAGCACGCTCTGCAGCTGGCCCTCGATGTCCTCTGCCTGTGCCTTGGTGAGGTCGTGGTAAGGCTCCAGCATGACCGCGACGCAAAGGTCATTCGCCTTTAGTGCGTCGGAGTAACTCGTGGAGCCGGTCTTTGGCAGCGGTTTGAATCGCTTGCCACTGCCCTGGGGAGTGCGAGACTCGTCCGGGCGAGTTCTTTTGACGGGCTTTGTATCACTTGAAGGTTTCCCTCCCCGTGTCGCTCGTCTCGCCCGTTTACCCTGTCCAGGTTGACCCTGCCTAGAGGGTACTTTGGCCGCTACAGGCGTCTTGGCAGGTGGCGCCCCCACAGGAGTACACTTCCCCGTGGCTTGACTTTCGTCTTCGCCTCGGGGCAGCACGTCACTGGCGGGGGCAACGTGGGCCCCTTCGGGCCCTTCAGCGACTTCAAGCCGCTTACTTCCACCCGAGGTCAGACACCGTGCTTGCCTTTCCACTCGGGCTTTCGCCCTGTTGGCGTTACGGGTCTTCTTGGACGGGTTTGGTTTTTTCGACGCTCTCTTCTTTGTCCTTACCAGGCTCCAGCCGGTTTCTTCCAGGCCGGGTCCCGCAGGTACGGGCATTGCTGCCCTCAAAGAGGAGAGGTCGATGGTCGACACTGGCTCCGTATTCTGGTTAGACACCAGTGGTGTCGCCAGAGTCGTGGATGGCGCTGCGGTCGGGTTGTTTGCCTGAGCAGCAGCCAATGGTGTATTTGCCGGATTCACCCTTGGGTTGTTCACCCTGGGGTCAGCCGATTGGTGGTTTAGCCTGGCACTTGGGTTGTTCACCCTCGGTACCGGCTTTGTGGTTTTTTTATTAGTTGGTTTTTTAGTATCCATAGTTTTTTTTGGTATACTATTCATCTCCTTGTCCTTCCACCCTCCTTGGAGCCCTCAAGTGGGGACGCCGCGGCAGAAGGCACACGACGCCAGAAGTGACAAGGAAATATAGAGCTCCCTCCCTGGCAGAAGGCAGGCCGAACTAGGTAGGAAGACTTGGTCGTCCCACCCGTCGTCCACCCCCACCAAGGAAGAGCTCTTGCCCAGCAGCCCTCTGACGGGATACTACAGCCGATTGACCAAAGGTGGCTAGCCTTCAGCCTCCCGTGTAAAGAGAAATCCAGGCCAAAGCAGTGTGTTGCCTTTCAGCTCAACTACCAGGATCCCTTCATCCTCCCTTACGGGTCCCCGCACACGGCACAAACATGCGGGTGGTTGCCCCCCCTCCCCCTCACTCTCAGTCTTTGTTGATAGTGAGGCCGCAGGCACCAACCACTTAGTGTCCGCAGTAGGTGTGGATGGGATAGAAAATGGGAAGGGATAGGTTTTGTGGGATGGAATTGCGTCTGGGTGTTTCTGTTATATCTGTTTCGTAGGGAATCAGACCTAAAACAGGCGGCAACCACGGGAAGGATGACACCCAGACTTGCCATGGGGATCTACACAACTGTTGCGCTCTCCCCCATGACCATTCGCCGTGTACGCCCTCCGGACAGGAGGGCGTACCAGGATTGGATCTGCTCCAGGCGATCTTGGCCTTTTGGAGCACACCCAACCCCGCCCAACGGAGGACACCCCGTGTGTTGTGTTGAGTAATTCGGTAGTGTTGTCGAAAGATATGAATACCTTAAAATCTTAAGAGATACCCCAAGACCTCAAAAAGACTTTGTTGCGTCAAATATCTTGATCAACTTAATGCTAAAGACAGTTTTCGCATCCGAATTTTGTGAGAGGTTCCTGTCTCTGGAGCTATCTATAGTTTGTCCCTGTACCTGACCGACTATTCTTAGATTTATTTATTTTATATTTTAAGATACACAAATAAGTAATTTCATTGTACTTAGTCATCTCCTTAACTTTGGTTAGATTGCAGACTCAAAAATGCCTTCATTTGAAGCGCCATGTGTAGAGCTAGGTAGTGGACCCAGAACACCTAGCTTCACGCTTTCACCAACGCCCTCCGAAATATCTACAGCCAGTTCACCAGAACCAGTCAACGTTAGACCTACTATGTTGTTTAGGTAATTCATGTTCCAATATATAAAAAATAGTGTTTATTTGATTCTATTTATGTAGCTACTTACTGCCATACCGTACAACCAATCATCATGAAATTTTGTATACTTTCACACAAAAAATATTAACGGAGCAGAAACTAGTTTTGCTTCAAGCTACCTGAAAAGAGTATCGGCAGTGCAGACTGAGCATCGCATCGACTAACACATATCATTAATAGTTACTGTAGCATTACTTACTGTTACAATTTATTCGCTGTAGCGAAACATGTATGTTTAATATTAACATTACCGTTTATAGAGCTTTAGCTATACCCCCTCCTGACCCAGAACAACCACCTGGTCAGGACGAATTGGAACGTCGCCTGCCTGGTTACAGACGAATCGTTATACCACGTGAACTAACATTGTTAGAATTACTGGTAAGTGTCCAGTGTGTAGTAAAGTTTTGTAACCTAGAAAGGAAATCCCTGATACTCCCTGATGACAGACCCCGAGTCATCCACGGCTTACAGTTGGCCCCCTCGTGTGTGGTGACCACGGTTTCCCCTACCTGCCCCGAAACGCGTCGCGTTTCCACCTGTCACACCCAGGCCTGCGTTTATGGGTTGACAGAGATCATTCAGCGACCTCCGGCGCTTGAGCTGCCAGGGGTATCTGGCCTGGTCCCTTGCCTGGCGAGCTGGGAGAGGGGTCTAAGCCCCTCCCGGTCCCACTTCGCTTCATAATTTTCTGGCAGAAGTTCTTCTAGTGTCCAAAGTGCCTGGCTTACGGCAATTGGCTTGCCTCTTCCTACCTGAATAGAATTAGTTAAATTATAATTGGCTAATTATAGATCGACTTTCTTACTTTTTTACAAATCCTTAGGGGTTTCCTTTGGGGTTACCTTGTACACTTAGGGATACGGGAGTGAGTATATGTAAATATGAACTGTTTTTAAATGTGTATTTAACCGAATAAAAAAAAATCTAGGAGTTATCGAACCATCATCAACAGCCTATTCTAGTCCACTTCTGGACATAGGCCTCTCCTTAGAAAGGAGGTTTTGGCCTACTATACCACACTGGCCAGACGGGTTGGTATAGGGTTTGTTTCAAGTTTTCCTTCTCTTTGCAGTGCTGTTGTCCTGCTTAGTTTGCTCCCTTAGTCGGCTCTTACGACACCCACGGGATGAATTGGGGTGTGACAATTTGTATTCTTAATCCGTCACCACACGGACTATCCGTCACCACACGGACTAGTCATAGTTCGAACCATAGTCATAGTTATTTCACTAAAATGCGAACTTCATAGGATGTTAAATTGTTGTAAATTTTATCATTCGGTCAAAAACAAGTGTTTAGTTCAGTCGGCTAATGTGGCGCAAAATCTACTTAACTATTTATTTTAGATTCGTTTTAAAGTCTCAAAGTTGTTAATGGCAGAAACAAAGCACTGGTGTGAATACTGACGAAGAAATACTGCGTATTCGTGAGGCCAAACTTCGCGTAATTGCTGATAGAATCGGTTTGAGGAGGCTCCACATCTTTGCACCTAGGCTACGCAAGCTGATTCTCGACGGTAGTGCTATTGGATCCTTACGAGAACTGGGGATAGGTTTGACTCGTCTTAAGGTAAGTAAAAGTTTTGTCATAAACAAAAGGAGAACCTACAATAATTCAATTAAAGTATTCACATTTAGACATTTAAATTATAGATAAACAAAAAGATAAAATAACATTAAAGTATAGACATTTATCTAGTTCTCGTAGTGATATAATGCGCTAACAGATTGCCTAGCAAGACCGTATATATGTATCTACTGATGTCAAAATAAATCGTAAGCGAAACTGACTCTCTGTGTAACACTCTACAAACCTTTGAGGTTTATCGTGTTATGTTTCAATATTCTCTGCATTTTTGGTTTTATATGTATAAAAAATAACTAAATTACAAAAAAGCTATATTGTAGATATTATTAGCAAAATTCTGAATACTAACCTGACCTAATAAAAATAGTTTTTAATTATTATTAAAAAAACTAAGTAGATACGATATTTGTTGCAGATGACTTTCAAATTTTTGATTGACTGCACGGATGGCGTGGTTGTTTGAGCTACTGCGCTGAGTGTTGTGGGTTCGATCCCCACATGGGACGCCACTTTGTGTGATCCACAAATTGTTGTTCTAAGTCTGGATGTTCTTTGTGTCCGTTTTATGTATGTTTGTAAAGTCCCCCGCGACACAGGATGTATATTCCTAAAGCGGGAGTTGTCTTAAAAAATAATTAAATACATAGGTACATTGTTTTTATTCCTTTAAGACCTATAAGATTAATCTCTAATTACAATCTTTAAACAGATTTTGAGTATAAATCGATGCAACTTGACCTCTTTGGATGGAATTTGGGGATTGGGTTCCTTAAGAGAAATGTATGCAGCTGGTAATCGACTTCAAGATTTGCAGCCATTGGCCGTTCTGCAAAAACTGCACACGCTCGACCTGGCCAAGTAAACATTTGGTTCTTTTATTAGATTATAAGGTTAAATATACGATTAACTTACACACACACATAACCTTAGCCTACTTTACAATTAGAACACTACTAGTCCTTCCTCCTTCACCTCCATCAGCATATTGCTGCCTTTTTCAAAACTTAAAAGATAAACGATGTAACGTAATTAAAAAAACTAGATCCCAATAGTCCAAGTTTCATACAAACGTTACCGTATACAAGTTAGTGCAGGCGCTTTGTAGACGAATTATTATATGTCCATTGTACCTATAGCCGTTTGACATACAGTACAAGTCAACTGTACAAGTTATTGTATACAACTTCTGTACACCATTAAATGAATGTAATAGTACAGATTTTTTTTACGTAGTATCGCTAGAACTGCATGGGGAAGATTAACATATTATACAATAAATGTAACACCCCATTTCATTATCATATTAGAACAATACAAAAAAATAATTAAAAGCAATGGAGGCACTGATTTAGACAGTACCTTGGCTACTTTCGTTATTTTAAGTATAGCGTAAACGTATAATTTGAAGTTTATCCTAATAAAATATATGTTAATTACGACATGCACTACCTACATGGTATAGAAAAAAAATGGCAATAGTAAAAAATGCAATTCAACACGTTTTTAACTTATAATTAATAAACGAAATGGAATGCTATCTAAAAAACCTAGTTGCTGAACTAGATTTTTTAGATAACATTCCATTTCGTTTATATAAGGTGTTGATTAGTTGCTGAAAACTACATACTGGACGCAACACTCCTAGGTAAAAAAGTTTAAACGCATCCACAGTAGAAAAGTAGTTTGAATTACCCCAAATACAAGTTCTAAGTTGTTGTAACTTTTCATTTCTAGCAATCCAATAGCAGAGTTTAGCCGCCTATGGACCTTGGGTGTATGTGGGTCTCTTCGCCGGATGACCTTACAGGGCACTCCAGCTTCGGACATGCCTGATTACCGTTCTGCTGTAGCCACAGCACTACCGATGCTTGTTTATTTGGACGAGAGGCCTCTGCATGTGGATATCGACTGTAAGGAATTTCGCTTGCGTTTCCTTAAGCTATGCGGTAAACGATCTTTAGCTATGATTATGTAATTATCAACTTCTATAACTATATAACATTTAATTTGACCAGATTCAATACTATCTGCATACTATACTAGTCTGAAGGCAAGTTATTTTTAATCTTAATTTATCCATTTTTCTGTTGAACTTCACAGTGTGTCTTTCACAGTCATCACGGGGTCACAGGTGCAAACTCTGCACTTATCTTCAGTTCTACACGTTGTACTGTATATCTAACTCTCTTTTCCTCAAAATCCTTTATTTGTGTACCAGATGAATCTAGCGGGGAACTGGGCGAAACATCATCTTCGGACAGCGACGCAGAGCTGGAAAATGATGCACAGGAAGCTGTTCTTTTTAAACAACCATCAGACGAACCTACACCCGGACCATCATCTTCAGAAATGGTAAAATTTTATTTAAATTGAATGCTATTAACAAAGTTAAACAAAGAACAATGGCAGAAACATATTTACCAAAAACTGAAGCGTTTAAAAAATTGACTAACAGTAAACTTACTAAATATTTTTTCTATGATTTATCATTATACCGCCATGTGTTGTATAAGTCTAATAAGAGATTGGATATTTTTAAAGATTTTATTTGACCTAAGTACGTAATGTCAGAATCGCCATCACGAACTGACTAGGGATGCGTGATGATATTATTATATTATGAAACGTTTTATCGATAATCGATTGTTATAACTTTTGCTTAAATACCTATCGAAGGTTCACCTATTATAATTATGTATTTGCTTCTGCCCACGGGTTTACTCATACGCTACCGTAACTAGTACTTTAGTGACTAAATCAACCTAATTAGAAATAATTTAGAATATTTTTGACTCTTTTTAAAAGATTTGTGCTACACCAAAATAAATAGAATATAGTTACGTTATTTTCCTACAGAAAAATACTAAAACAATATACTGCTTAGTGTGATGAGAAAAAGACATTGTAGGTTGATAACGGCATATAAATAGACATGTATCGATATTTTTAAAATGTCGATACGTCGTCGTCGCACTTACTATAACCCGGCAATCTCGTGCGCGACCGTCCCGCGGGGTGACAGACAGTGGCGGGGGCGAGGTAGCGCGTCATTCTAGCACACGGCTACAAACGATTCCCTTCCCCGCTACACCACCCGCTACCCGCTGACATCGTGAGTACCTCGTCCCCGCCACCGTCTGTCACCCCGCGGGACGGTCGCGCACGACGTTGACGGACTATAGTCTTGTCGTTTGACACTTACACGCATGACTTACATACCATTTCTCACAAGGCAATTGTAGTTTATTTGGTTGTTTTACTTTTGTTTAGTATTAAACTCTCATATATGTTTATTTTAATTTTAAATAGTGTTACTCCATTATGCATGATGCCATGATGCCTTAAAATGTTGTGCATTAATCTCAATATAATGGATGCATGCTTTAGATTTTAGTAAATAATGTCACAACTACTGACTGTTGAATAACTAAATAATTAAATAAATGCTCCCGCCTTGTATAAATGTGCATTGAAGTACATTCATTCAAATTATTATTAATAATGTATGTATTTATAGCTAGTATTACACCTGCTATGTAAGCGAAGATTTTTTTCTATTGTTTACCAATACATGCCAAGCAAATACCCTTCCTTCCTTCACCCATTTAGAGAGTCGGCTAACACTTTCTACAGCAAAATAGGGTTGCTTATAAGTAATAATAATGATGAATAATATTTTCGAATATATGACACACAACGCCATCTAGTTTCAAACAAAACATTTACAATATTTTAGTACTTAACCTCGAAACATTCAAAATCCAATATCTTTTTTCCTAGACTTTTTTATGAGAATGTTCAAGAATAAATTCTCAAGGGTTGTAGGCATTTTTGATATTTAAACGCTGTCATTTCACTTCAAATAAAATTATGTATGGGGACCTGCCATTGTCCTTTCAGTCCATAATTGTAAGATGCAATTGATACATTTTGAAAACTTGTCACTAATGCAAAAAACATAGACAGTCTAGACTGTAATAGATAGATAAATAGGAGGCAGTCCAGACTGCAAGCTAGCTATACATTTAATAATAACTATCTGTACCCTGCCACGTTTGGCTGTGGCACATTGTGGTTGCATTGATGAGAAATGAGAATCAAAACTCACTTGAAAAATAGACAAGAACAATATATCGTGTTAAAACCCACTTGTCACGTCGTCGGCAAAGTGGACTCTAAACCAAGAGATCATCAAGTTCATACGACATGATCACCGGTGCTCAAATACCCTTTCGATTGAAAGAGCGATTGAGCAGAATCGGAGGTCAAAACTGTTTGGAAGAAGCCACCTCTCGAAGCTGACCACAGCAAGTGGAGAAGTCGTTGCTCCGAAGACGGCAGTCCATTCGGAAGTGGAAAGCCTCTATGGCGGGTTATACACTTCGCATGCATCTCGACCTGATCCCGAAAATGAGGACTCCAGAGCTGCTTTAACACCTCATTACGTCTGCCAGAAGTCAGCACTAACGAAATCAAAATGGCTCTTAAACAGCTGAAAAATGGAAAAGCCCTTGTAGAGAATGGCGTTACAACAGAGCTGCTAAAGACTGGAGGTAAACCTGATGAAGCTCCAAAACTTTTTTACGTGGTCCTGTACATGGGAAGCGTTTAGTAAGCTACGGCGCGTCTTCTTATGGTCGTGGGATCGACCATGAGAAGACTCAACGTAGCTAAGAATAGTTTACCAGCGTCTAAAGACGAAAATCTTTAATAAATGCGTCCTACCCATCATGACATACGGAGCCGAAACGTGGACACTTACTGTACGGCTGGTCTACAGGCCTAAAGACGCTCAGCGTACTATGGAAAGAGCTATGCTCCGCGTTTCTCGAAGGGATCACAAAAGGAATGAGGTGATCTGGCAGAGAACCAAGGTCATTGATATAGCCCAAAGGGATTAGCAAGCTGAAGTGACAGTGGGATGGCCATCTTAGCCACAGAACCGACAACCGTTACGGTAAACGAGTTTTTGAGTGGAGACCACGTCCAGGCAAACGTAATATAGGACGCCGACAGGCCAGGTGGAGTGACGATCTGCACAAGATGGCTGGCAGAAGCTGGATGCGTGAAGCCGAAAATTGACAGCGACCAGCAGTGGACTGTGATAAGCTGATGATAATAATGATGAAGACGGGACGGAACTGTATAACAGGAAGCCGAGGAAGTGAGTCAATAAGCGTTTTTTTTAAATTAGGAACCGAATTACATCATAATTGGCATTATACTAAAACACTGTGAAATAACAAAAAACAAAAAAGGGGATTCTTTAGACCACACGATTGAAGTAAAACTTCTTGGCTATGAGAGAAAGAGACAAAGAAAATGTGTGCTCACTCCTCTCTCTCTTGCCCTTACAGTAATATCCAAAACGTAGCTTTCTCTCTTTCTATCTTCACTTACTTATATCTCCCTCTCAACTTCCGTTCGCCTCGCACGATCCCACTTTTCGTGACGCTCTCGTCACGCATTCACCAGCTTACTCCCCAAGTCAAGCGTGCGTAAAGAAGTTTTACTTTATAATAATAATATCAGTCAAAGTCCAATACTAATTTGAAAAATAAAAATGAATGTGCCTTTGTCACATATCGTAATAGAGTCACGAGGCCAGCGCGTTGGTTGCCGGGCGCAAAATTAGGATTTATTAAGCGTGCTCACATTTAACTACTTATCAAAACATGTGCCTACCTATGTACATGTATTATGAAACAACTTATGCATGAATTTTCTTACATAAAATAGTAAATCTACTCCTCAGAGAAAAAAAATGTATGTCGCGTGTATGTTATGGTTATCGCGGTAAAAAGTAGCCTGTGTTAATACCCTGATAATGTAGCTTTCCATTGGCAAAATAATTTTAATATCGGTTAAGTGGTTTAGGCGTGAAAGCGTAACAAACAAACAAACTCAGTTTCACATTTATAATAAAAGTATGGATATATATATTTAAGAATCAAATACAAGCATTGACATGTTTAACTGACGATGCACAGTGGGGCTAAATCGAAAACTACCCGAACTAAAGTCTTAAAAGACAATTAATCATTTTAAATAGTCTTAAGATGCTGATTTAGAGGTTTTTGGGGTCGCTGATTACAAATCTGAAGTCAGAATTCCAGAATTAGGATGGCGGATCCCCAATGGCGGACATTATTCTCAAAATGCTTATATAATTTGCTCAAAATTGATAAGGTAATTGATCGCTGTTTGCATAATCGATGGTTTATTTAAAACTAAGAAAACAGTTAAAAATAAGTGTATTTTTTTAAAATAATTAACAAATGTTTAATTAATTAATTTTTCGATGTTATATTTCTGAAGCGGTTGCGTTCAAATCGTTTTTTACAATATTATAAATTTATTTCCTTGTCATCCCATCTCGCTGTATTCGCCATCTCAGAACCTACATGACAATAATATTCATAACAGCGTCTGTTTTTCATAAAGTGTAAATTAAAATTAATGATCTAATGCCTTTTTTTAATAATTATGCTTTCATTATTACAATGAGTATATATAAGAATAGAAATAAAAACGTCCATAAGGAAATAAGAAGCGTGTCGGAAGCCATATGCGCATATTTAAATGGCACACGGAACGAAAGGCACTTTTTAAAGGAAGTGTGTGTATTACCTGTGTATATCTGATGTGAGCACTTATGTGATCACTTGCTTACTAGCCTGTGTATTCTCTCTGTGTATATATGTAAGGGATACAGAAAGGCAAAGAAGGAAGGTAGAGGGAAACCAGGAGTGAGAAAGCAAGGGAGAGAGAGGAGACTTTGATTGTGGGAGAGATGGAAAAAGGAGAGAGGAAGAAAGAGAAAAAGAGAGTGAAAAACAGAGCAATAGAAAAATAGAGCTCACAATCGTACCAATGCTAACGGTCTCTTGAGCAGTGTAGTATAATACAGCGATACATATTTTCCACAATAAGTGACGTTAAAATTAAACGGGCAAATATGGGCAGCTAAAATTTAGACATTTCATTTATAATACATATATCTATAACCTGCAAAAAAATTTATGGCGGAACAATTCGGAACATTTAACTATTTTCCTTGGCAACTACAAATTTTTGGATTTAAAATAACGTTCACTAACTACACTAACTTTTGCTTTAGACAATAAATTTTGTAAAATGTTATTATAATATATTACTTACTTATAGTAGATCTACGATTCAATTAATTCCAGTGGATTTGATGATTTTCCATCGATTTTCGCGAAATCCAATACGTATAATTTTTTCTCTTCTAAACGTACCGCTACTTGCTTGCACGAACGCTATGTTTCAACTAGCATCAGTGCTGCTATAGTCGAGTTGGAGACCTTTAATTAATGTATTTATATGTACTAGGGACTACTGCAGCCAATCCTAGGTCGAAAAAGCCCTATACGATACTTTCATTGTTTGGACTTTCGTCCGGGTTTGTCGATTTGGCCCCACTGTGCGACGCCGGAGGATCCGAATAGGGGAGAGGGCACTCAAAGGGCCGTAATGCACGCTTATGTCAGTCATTATGGACTATGTTCAAAATTATGTTTGTACTAGCGATCCGCCCTGGCTTCGCACGGGTGCAATGTAGATACTACTAATAGTACTAATGTGGTGTCAGTGTGTACTAATTAATTATCCTATTATTATGATAGGACTGTACTACATGACACCTTTAAATGCGATATTTATAGGCCCGCTCCGATCCTGAAGGCCGCTGTCGCCAGGGATGGACGTACGGCTCGGTCGTGGGCCCTGCATTTTAAATCTCCTAATATCTTCTAAAATATTCGTTTTAATGATATGCTGTAAAGGGTATGTTTTGTTGACTCTCTTCCCAGGATATACGAAATTCAGGTCAAGACGGCGTCAATGGACAGCAAGAGCTTGCCGCTTTACAGAAAAAACGTTCCATACTCCGTTCTCGACCAGCAACGACGGAGAATGCCGGAGTCAGACCTACCCGACCGGAGCTGCCGCCGAGACCTCGGACGGCCCACGACAGGCCTGTTATAGATGAACATAGTAGGCTACAGATATTGAGCACGCTAATGGGTAAGGCCGTAAAGACTCAAATCTATACAAATAAATAAAATTGAAGTGTCTGTTTGTAATGTCAAATAATAGGTTTTTTTCATGCTACACGGTTATTTGCACGATGCACACCTACGAGTATGTCTAAAAACCAGTTTGCTTTTTTTTGTCTGTCTGTTTGTTCCGGGTAATCTTCTAAAGGGCTAGACCGATTTCAATAATATTTTACTGCCAGGTAGCCGTCTATATAAGGATTAATTTAGGCTATTTTTTAACAGACTTGAAAAAGGAGGAGGTTGTCAATTCGGATGTTGTTTATGTACGGGCCGGTCCGGTCCGTCATATATGGACGGATTTTCAAAATTTTTGTTCGAAAGGAATTTATTCCCAAACGGTCCTATTTAAATCCGAGAAATCCGATCCGAGAATCGAACCCCAGGTCTCATGTATCGTACTACACCACTAGGGCAGCGCAGGGCCGCCGCTAGCTGTTCGAGCATCCGCGTGCAATACTTATGATGCCGCCCTTTTGTCTGTGCCGAAATCGCCCTTCGAACATCCCCCACCGGACAGCCGGTGGGGTGGTTATGAATTTCATTTGCATCAACTTATTTTTATCCTTATTTCAATGAGTTTAGAAATCATATTACTTAAATTCGATACAATTATACCGAGGCATGTTGTGGAATGTCATGCGGTTTCATTCTACAGATTATCATGCCACCATATGTCAAGAGTTACATAGGTCGCAGGAGTATCGCCCCCCTCCCTCGGAGTCAAGGGCGGGATACAGTCAATCAGTTTCGTCTGCGAAGATACAAAGATGGTTGCGTCGTTCTGGTTGAAGTTGAAGATGAAGAGAGACAAATACAAACTGATATATTGAAGCAAAAACAATTCTGGGTACATCATTTGTAAAGAATACGAGAGACACTCAGTGTGAGTCAAGACGCGCGCGACTTCCTCCTTTGCCCACGCGCCCAGCCCAGGCTGCACTCCATTTGCCGCCAAAACCGCCACATCCGGCTTAAACCTTATTTCAATTAGTTTGGCTGTCATATACCAAGACAGCGGTATAGTTGTATCGAAAAGGTAAAAGTAAAATAATATGAATTCTAAACACAAGGAAATATGGATAAAAAGAACTTGATCAGAAATAAAATCCTTTACCTAGCCGTACCGTGTCGCGATGTTAGTCAACGCCAGTCCTATTGAGTGGCTGGGTTTCCTGCGAGATGCCACGACGTGACGCGATATGCTTTGGCATGCTGCTTCATAAAATAGCATTCTTCGGCTGCCGAAGGACACCCTGCCGTGCCGTGCCTTGCCGCGACGTTAGTCAGCGCCGGCCCTAACACCGCACGTCGCACCATCTCGGGCAGTAGCCGGGCCACCAAGTAACCTAGAAAGGAAATCCCTGATACCTGCGTCATTTACGGCGTACAGGAGGTCTCCTGATGTGTAGTGACCATGGTTACCCCTCAATGCCTCTAAAGGAGCTCCGGAACGTTTGCGTTTTAATTTCTTTTTTTTCCGACTTCTTGAAAATTCAGCGCTTTTCAAACTCCACGCGAACGAAGTCGCGGGTACCAGCTAGTGAAGAATAAAAGTGAATAATTAATGTACACATATCCATAAATCTTCAATTAGCTGTGTTGTTGTCTTTAATGTCTAACAAAATATATATATTTATACCCTTGTTAAGAAGTTTTAGCGAATTTTAAACCAAATTAAAAGAGATAACTTTTTGAAATTTACTGGGATTTCGGTGCATTGATTAATTTTTAAGATTATACATGTTTACTTATACATATGCCTTTATAAGATATAAATCATTTTTACGCAAAGATGACGAGTGGCTAAGCAGCGGTAGTAAGCTGACATCAGTCGACGCAATGTGTGGAAATTTGGCAAATGCTTTGCGTCGCACCACATCGAATACTCCACGAAGCTGCAAAGGTACTTAATTGGGCTTTGGAATGCAGAATGAATGACTTACTTTGTAGATATCTAATAATAATAGTCCTTTTCATGTCCTTGTGAGTGTGCACAATAAGTATAGAAGTGGTTATAAGTATAGAAACACATTTAAAGCCGGTCTGGTTTGATATTCATGTTGAATGAATTTCCTTTACTTTTTAAGTAGTCAAAAATGGTTTCTTTTTGCGTCATAGATGATGACGACAACCAATCATTATTACAAGACACTATGACGGAAGCCTTGAAGTCTGTAGCGGAGGAAATACCACGAGCCCCTAACCTCGAAGACTGGCTTAAGTTTAAAGAAAATACTGGGTAAGAAATAATAAATTAAGAGTAATATGTAATATGTTCCAAACTGATATTTATATACTAACATAACACTATATAAAATACTATGTTGTCGTAACACATACTTTTAAAACTACTAATAACTTAAGAAAAGAAAAGAGGTACACAACCAATGTAAAAGCTACGACAATCCGAGAGATTATGACGTGTATTATATTGAGAGCTAGGACTAAGTCTACGAGGGTGGTCTGAAAAGTTTCCGACCTCAACACGAAGATGGCAGCACTCGTCAATAAAAGCTAGTGGATTTCGTTGGTCATCTGTTGACAGTTACTTGCCAAAGTTTCAGCCATTTTGGACGCGCTGTTGTTATGTAACAGTCGTTTCAGTGAGTTGATGTGTTTTTATGAAAATGGACAAAATCGAGTATCGAGCTGTCATTAAATATTTGTTTTTGAAAGGCAATACGCCTACGCAAATCAAAGATGAGTTGGATTCTGTGTATGGGGACTCTGCACCATCATTTACCACAGTGAAAGTTTTGGCAGCTGAATTTAAACGTGGCCGTAAGAGCTTGGGGGGCGATGAACGTTCGGGACGTCCAAAAACTGCAACTACCGACGAAAACATAGCCAAAGTTCACCAAATGGTTCTAGACGACCGCCGAATTAAAGTGAAGAGATAGAGGAGGTTATGAACATGTCAAAATAACGTGTTTGTCACATATTAAATCAACATTTAGAAATGAGAATGCTGTCCGCGCGTTGGGTGCCGGGTTTGCTCACGTTAGACCAAAAACGTCTTCGAATGAACATTTCCAACGTTCTGTTGGCGTTGTTTAGGAGCAATAACTCCAATTTTGCGCCGAATTACTGTAGATGAAACTTGGATACACCATTATTACATGAGAAAAACTATTACAGGAGCATACTACGCATCATTTCTTAACAAGCTTGCCAGCAAAACGGCCACATTTGCAGAAAAAGAAAACACTGTTTCACCAAGACAACGCATCGTCTCACACTCACACGCTCGGAGGACAGAGGTTTTCGTCAAATGATGAAGCAATCACCTTTGTGAACAATTATTTTGCAAAGAAAAACGCCGAGTACTATTTGGACGGATTACAGAAATGGGAGCGTCGCTGGGAGAAGTGTGTAGAGTTACAAGGAGACTAAGTTGAAAAAAAAAAAACTGAAAAAAGGTCTTGTATCTTTGTTAGGTCGGAAACTTTTCAGACCACCCTCGTATTGTAGGAAAACAACACAAAAAAATGTTGTCATATTCTCTAAATTTTTACAAAAATCGGTAACAATATCACGCAAGAACACTGTCTTTCTTGTTGAAAATATTTTGATATTTGGCTAATTCGCAATAAAATTGTTTATTACAGGATTGATATCGACATAAATCTTAATGAACGTCAAGAATGTCCCGATGCTTCTAAGATACTCGAACGTTTAGAACAAATAGAAAGGGAGACTCAAGAAAGATACAAGGGTGCGCCGAGCGAAACTGGTGAACACAGTAACTTTATTCATTCTTTGCCAAACGTCGCATTTCATAGTATCCCCACAAGAAGTGATTATGAACTTTGGAATGACCCTGGTTCGTCGCATTCACAATTTATGGATAGTGATATTAACACCTTTTTCAATAAAGTCAGTGAAATTCATTCCGTAGATAGAGAAGGAAGGTTTAGGGTTTCTAGAAACAATAACAGGCAAACGGAGTAAGAACGTATCCGATTAGCGGCTTCTAATTGAAGAATCTATATTAAAACTACACAGATATAGTTTTTACATGTTAATGTTTGCTAAGTGTCATAGAAGGCTGTCTGGACAGGTAAGGCTTTGATGCAATGTTCTTAAAGGAATAATATACCAATTGGATTTCGGTGTTGAGTTGTGGTGACGACAGGCTGAAAACTATCATGCTTCATTGTTAGGTAAATTAAATTGAAGGATTTAAAAGTACTATTTTAAAAAAAGAAATTCTAAACCTAACTCTAGGTTCTCAGTTGAGATATTTAGTTTGAGAATATATATTTTTTGGTATTTGTTTTATAAAGTAGACTTAATGAAACTGATATAATGATAACTATGAATAAACGCAATTCATTGTGCTCGTGTTAAATCCTATTTATCGTTTTTAAAAAATGTCATCACACCGGACATCACCTCAAGACAGTGTTTAAGATTGGTTGATGATAGAAAAACTATTATAACTACTGACCTATGTAATTATTTTTCGATTATTTTATACGTAGGTATATGTAAAACTGATAAAACGAAAACGTTGTAGGTGTTTGTTATTACCCAATAAGGAATCGTAGGAATACCAATGTTGGTTTTGAATGTTATTTTTAAATAATTTCTAAAAGGTGATAGTCAATGTTTGAATTACGAATGTGAAAGAAAGGGAAAAGAATATCTCACTGTTTACGTTTAAACAGATCAAAATGTAGTGAAGAAGATTTTGTTATGGCAATTGATGGATATAAGAGTAGAGGAAGATTAAAGAAAGAATGAATAGACTGAGTAAAGAGGATATGTAAAAGGGGAGTGAACTGATGATTGGTAGAGGAGAATGGAAGAAGTAAACTCATGACGCGCCGACCGCAAATAAATTTGGGAAAAGGGCAAGAAGATATAGATGTTGCTGTTTTACTTTTTAGGTTCTCATTTTAAAACAAAATCTTTTATAATAGTGTAATTATTATGTTACTACTTTTGTAGGATCTAAACAAAAACAATTACTAATGAGAATATAATAAAATTAAAAACAATATAATTATTTTAGTTATAGATTGACGTTTCTCAAGTTTATTAAAATTGAGGTAGGTATTTGTATAAATTACATATGATTTAGTATTTAATCATTATTATACTTCATGTTTTTTTATTTCTTTCTTGATGATTATTTCTTGCAACATGTTGTTTGGCCTAAAAAGCTTATAAAGTAGGAACCTACTTGTCAAAAAGTAAATACCTAGGACCGAGGCGATTTTATCAAAGTCGGCAAATTACATTTAAAAGGACAGTTATTATTAATATAATGTTGTAGTTTTCAATTATTTGTATCATAAGGGAGCTGAGTATGACTAAAATGGCGGAAAATGAAAGTTTTGTTGGATTTTCAATTACTGTTTTATCATAATCAACTCTCTTTTAAGTATTTTTTTTTCACAAATAGATAATGCTAATAGACAATATTATGAAAATTAAGTAAGTTGGTATGCTGGTGAATCTCCTCAAATTATATTTTTTTAGAAATTTCAGGGTTTTTTTAAAGTAACGAGGGAACCTATGTTTGGCGAGATTGATCAATGTAATCATTGAATAAATATATATTTTTATCGGGTTTATCATTCTTATCGTTTTTATTAGTTATGTCGTAAAATTGATTGTCTATTTCACCATTTTTATCTTTAGCCCACTGCAGTGGTTGTTGCCGTTGTTGGTTCTTTGACCACTTACTTACTCATCTAGACAGAAGCTGGCGATTCACCCAGATATCAAGATATCTTGAGAAAATTTTAATCATCTAACATATATTATGTTAGATGATTAAAATTAAACAATTAACATTAAACAATTTAAAATCATTTACCTAGTTGTGTATTTTCTGTATTCATGTACCTATTAGTTATTTTGCATTAGTTTTCTAAAAGTTTATTCCTGTTTGCATGATATTATTAAATGGAAGTTTAAGTATGTTGAAAAAATGTTTTATTGAAAAAATACGCAAATAAATTAATTTACAATTAATAATTATAATGTTATGAAGGTTGTCATGATTGTTCTCAACCCCTTCGAAAAAGGGAAGATGAAAAATGCATTTTTCCGCTAATTAAGGTTTTAAGATGTCAGAAGCCCAAAATCGATTTAAGTGGCGTGCAATAGGAGAGGCCTATATCCAGCAGTAGACTGCGATAGGCTGATGATGATGATGAAGGTTTCAACTTTTGTCTGAAGTACAAGCGGCCACTAAGACCAAAAATAATAGATTATAGACAAAATTTATATAAATTGTTGTTTTCTAAAAAGAAAAAAGTTTTTACCGTGTGAAGGCAATGCTCGACCGGAGGGACAGCACGGCCTCACAGGCACAGGAAACCAGTGTTGACACTGGTTTCCCCTGCTTTTCACCGAGTGAATGAGGTTACCTGAGACCCAACACTCCCCCTTCCTGCTTAATTCTGCAGGGAGCACATAAATGGTTGTAACGCACTTGTATCTCCTGTGTTGCAGGCGTTCATGTGCGGCGGTAGTCACTTTCCATCAGGTGACTCGTCTCCACGTTTGCCCCCTCCTCCAAAAAAAAAGACGGGCCTTTTGGTCTAGTGACATTGCTGGTTAGAAGTGCAGAAGGGAAAACAAATTTCCCAAGACACTACTGGTAGTGTAATTTGGTAGAAGTCGATTAGTGATCCTGACTGCTATGCAAAGGGTCGTGGTTTGGTTCCAATTAAGGGCAAACAATTGAGTTAGAAGTATGACACACTCAATCAGACACGGATTATTGTCTGGGTGGAATTTATTTATAATATGTACATCTGGTTATCACATAGGTTTTGCCCAGTTTAGTATCAGACGAGATAGTGAGATGTGTGAGGTTATTTTTAACAATAATTACTGCATAAATACCTGTCTGCTCAGCCTGCCTATGACGTTACAAAATTTACGTATACCTAAATAAGTTCATCCTCAGATGAATGTAATAATCGCGCGCAGTGTTTGTTGGTAGGTAAGTATTTAGGTATCATCAGATTAGACAGATAATCATATACTTTAAATATGGCATACATAGTAATAAGAAAAAACAATCGATACACATATAGACAGGAGACAATAAATCGTTTGTGCTGGTTTTATCTCAGGTCAGGACAAGAGGATATCAAGAAGACCTGGAATATCTGCTTCAGATAAACTTTAGCTGAACTACACCTACTATGGACATGGTAAGGTAGGTAATAATGGTTAGGTAGTTTGCGCTGATTACTGCTTAGTATATAACTATTAACTTAAAATAGAAAATGTTTAAGTATTAATAGTTAGTGTTTTTTATTTTACTTAAAAAGAAATTTTATGCCCGAGCAATAATAATTTAAAAGTAATATTTGTTATAATGCTATAAGCTTAGATAATCTAAGCCTATAAGCTAGAACGCTATAAATGGTTTTAATAATAAACATTTGTAAACTGTTGATTTTTATAGTTATTGAGGCCTGGCAATAAATTTAGTTTAAGCTTGATTAAAGTAATGTAATATGGAATTCATTTAATTAACGATACGTAATTAATATACTAATAATATACTTAGATAAAAAAATATCACAGACGCAGGCATGAGAACGAGTAAATTTACACAAAGAGAGTTTTAATTAAATTAACCCGTCAATGATCGTTTCTGGTGGAAAATGGGTACCCATTGATGCATTGCCACGTTATTTGATGAATATCTTCTTTGCGGCAATCTTTTTAAAGGTGCAAATTGGTCAGAGAGTCGGGTAATACATTTATTACGAGATTATTAAAAAAAATGTGATTTCTGAAAATATTTTACAAGTGCTTATTTTTATTTTAGTATAAATAAAATTAGCAAAGTCTAATTATCTACGAGTAAATAAGGGAAAACTGCGAGTAAAATTAAGTGAATTAGAGCCTGCCCACAATGACTTGTTAGGGAGTATGAATGTACATTAAGGCAATTTTGTAGGAAGTAGAATAAATGACGAGGAACTAAGTACCTACTTTTGAGGCTGGTGTTTCTATTGTGATAAACATTGTGACAATCATTAAAATCCTCTTATTAAAGAAAAGTAAGAAAGTTTTTATTTAGGTTTCGGAAAATGTCAGGGAAAAAAATATTGATTATTTTGAATGCCAAAATGTTAAATTATATCTATGAATCGTAAAAAAACATAAATTGTTTTCTTATAGATAGGTACACTTTCTTCATAAATAATAACATCTAGGTAAGTATACTAAGATTATAAAACGAAATAGTTTGTTTGTTTTTGTGGCTCTATGGTTAAAAGTGCTAATCTCAGGAACTACTGGTTCGAATTGGAAAAACCTTTACTGCAGGAAAGCTATAGACTATATAACATCACGCTACGACCAATAGAAGACGAGCATCAATGAAAACTGTCCAGCATTGGACTATTGATAATGATGATGGATGAAAAATGTTCCGAAAACGATCATCTAGCGGAGCGAGGTAGATCGTCACAGGCATATCATAGATTTTGTATAAGTTTAATTTATATTAAATTTATTTGTCTATTTGACAAAACAGAGATTGTTGCTATTGTGTGTGTTGACCTATGACTTTATGGCCCGAGGTATGTCGGGGCAAGAGGGACTTCCTTTCTAGGGTATACCTGGTTCCCCGGCTATTAGTACCCAAGACGGCGTGCGGTTTTAGTCGGTTCGAGTCCGACATTCCGCCGATAGGTGGTATCCGAGCGGATTTCCGCACGAAAAAAAAAGGGTCTACGTAAAAGACGATTTCAAACAATTTTAAATTTTTTAAGCAATAAATAGAGTTTGACTTTTAATAGACTGTCGATGGAATGTCGTCGGAATAGTTTTGCATTTTTCCTATTCTACTTATAATGTAACTGATACAAATGTCGTCGATGTCTTTGTAACAGTTTGGTAAACAGTACATTTTAAATTTGTAAGAAAATGATATATTTAATTTTCCAGGTGTGGCAATGTTGTTGATATCAACATTGATGACATATGACCGCACGGATGGCGTAGTGGTTTAAGCGGTCGCCACGCCACTTACTACTACGCTGAGTGTTGTGGGTTCGATCCCCACATGGGACGACACTTTGTGTGATCCACAAATTGTTGTTCTGAGTCTGGGTGTTCCTTGTGTCCGTTTCATGCATGTTTGTAAAGTCCCCCGCGACATATATTCCTAATGCGGGAGTTGTCTTTTTTAAATAAAATAAGAAATATATTACTCTATCGACAGTCTATTGACATTGTGAATTTATGTTAGTAGAATACTGATATTTTCACCGATGTCAATGGCGTCTAAATAGCGTGTCATTGGAAAGACAGTGGCTTGGCGTTAACATAAAATAGCATAATTGAGGCCCTGACTGCAGCGGCTTTAGACTTAGTGTAGTGCTCTGCAATCTATCTACTATAGCCGTGAACTCGACAGAGCCGGCAGTCGTCCTCACAACGGAGGCAACTTCGGTCGTGTCGGCAAGTAGTAGGCTTCCAAAATGAGTGTGCTATCATATCTCTACCGTGTTTTATTATACAACTTCCTAACAATATATTATAATTTGCTAATGCTTTTTGTGTTCGCATTAACTTATTTAAAAAATCCTTTGAGAAATCCATGGGCCCAGAAATTGAAACTGGAACCACCGAGTAAATTAACCGATCCAAAATACGGAGTGCATAAATCCCTGAAAGTTAATGTAAGTATTGATTTTTGTATTTTAATTGTGAATATTAAACTATAAGCATTGGGAAAAAATAGGACCAAACTGGAATAAACTAGAATAGTGAACAGTCGTCTCTATTATTGGTGTTATTTAATTTGTTGTCATTGCCACTTCGATTAACCTATCCATTGCAGACAAAACAATTGAGTTTAACTTACTCGTTGGTAAGTAGAATCAGTGGGTCGGGAAACAAGCGTAAGGTCATCAGGTCATAGGAGCCGATCGTATGTAATGCAAATAGCAGACTTAATGCCGTAGGCCAGTCCCAGTCGACCTTAGGGCGATGCAGAGCTAAAAAAATAGTAGATGCACAGAAATAAAACTGTGATTTTATGAAAAGTATAGCATGAATAGAATATCATATACCCAGTGTAATTAAATATATTACATTAGAATATATTGTGATAATAGTAAGTAGATAAGGTACAATTTGATATATTATTAAACAAATTAAATAGTGTAGGAATCCGTGGTAAATGCCTGCAATGGTTTACATCATATTTAAAGGATAGGGAACAACTAGTAGAAATAGAATTTTATAACCACAAGACCAATGAAATAGAATTAATCCGATCAGATTACAAGCTAATTAACGCCTCTATTCCACAGGGAAGTGTATTGGGGTGTCTACTCTTCCTTATATATATAAACGATCTCCCAAAAAATATATACGAACCATGTGTTTTGTTTGCAGACGATATATCAATACTCACTTCATGCGAAAATAACAATAACCTTAATGATAAGTTAAATTCTATACTTACTGCTACAACTGACTGGATGACAGAACACAATCTAGAAATTAATTTCAACAAAACAAAAATAGTTACATTCCACCCACATCAGAAAACACCAATAAACGTAAATTACACCTTCAACAACATAAACTTAGAAGTAGTTAATAAATTCACCCTATTGGGCATTGACGTAGACAGACATATTGATTGGAAATCACACATTCGAAGAATACAAGCCAAAATTTCAAAATTTACTTACGCCCTCCGAGAAATAAAAAAAACTACAGACCTAAAAACAGCACTTGCTACCTACTATTCATATGCCTACGCGTGGTTCACATACGGAATAATCCTGTGGGGCAATAGTACAGATGCACCTACACTATTCACTTTACAGAAAAAACTAGTTAGAATCCTAGTAAACATAGAAGACACAGACAGTTGCCAACCTCACTTCGTCGAACTTAAAATTTTAATCTTACCCAGTATCTACATATTGGAAACCTGTAAATTCGTTAGACAACACCCAGAGTTCTACAGTAAAAGAGAGGACATACAAACCAAAATGACGCTTAGACACAAAGATAGACTTAATTTACCAGCTTCCCGACTCAAAATGCACTCATACAGCCCATTTGTAATGTCCATCAAAATATACAATCAGTTACCTAAAACCATAAAACAAGAAAATAAATATAACAGTTTCACAAAAAAATTAAAACTCTTTCTTATAAGTAAAAGCTACTACAGCATAAGAGAGTATTTTGAAGATAGAATACTAAAATAATAAAATTCATAAATTATACAACTATTATGATAAATAATAAATAAAATATTATTTCCTCTCTCCCAAACAAACTGTGCTGCGCCCGTCAGGGTCCATAATTGTTACTATATTTAAATTGATATCACCTATGTATTTACATTGTGGAAGCAATAAAGTATTGAGTATTGAGTATTGAGTAAAAAAGATACAAATACAATTAATAATAATGATACTCATACACACAATACATAAGTATTTATTTATACATATATATAATTATACATTTAAATATATACATATATATAAATATACATATTTTTATACACACAATAAATTCTAGAAGGAGAGGTACAAAGTTAGATCTGATAGGGAGTTTAAGAGATGTTGCCGCAACAGGCATTTAAAAGTTTACCGAGTTTTTGCCATCCTGATCTCGAGAGGGAGCGCGTTCCATAACCGGACTGATTGTACCAGGAAAGTAGAATGTACGAAGTCAGGGTGGTGAGTGGGACAGTGAAGAAATAGGTTGCTTGAAGATCTAAGGTTTTTGCATGGTTTGCCCCTAAATATTGAAGTTCAGTAGTTATGTAGGAAGGAGAACTAGGAGAAAAAATGTAAAGAATATAGAGTAGTTAATGCTCGTGTCTCTCTGCGTTGGCGAATTGGAAGCCACTTCAAATGGGAGCGATGCTGAGACACGTGATCATATTTGCGTAAATTGAAAACGAATCGAATGCTATTGTTCAGAAGCGGTCAAGCTTATTAAGCAGATCTGCATTCAGGTCAAAGTAGCACACATCACCATAGTCGATAATATATATTTGTCTGAACAAGCATTACCTGTTTTTATTGGCAGAAAGTTCTTAAGCCAATAGAGGGCCGCAACGAGCCTGTGTCTTTCTGGCACACAGATGCAACTTGTGTTCGCCAGTTAAGGGTCGTGTCAATATATAATCCGAGGTCTTTCACATTTTTACAGAATGGAATAACCATGCCATCATAGATAAGTGGCGGAAGTGAAGCAAGGTCGAGCCGGCTCATATGACGGTTACTTCTTATGATAATACCTTGACATTTATTCGGGTTTACAGATACGCCAAACTTATCTGACCAGTGTTTAATGGCCGCCAGGTCACTATTTACGACGACGAAGTCTTAGGGTGATGAGGTTTATGAAAATGGAAAATAGGAGGGGTGAAAGAATACAGCCTTGAGGGACACTAGCATAAAGTCCGCACCAACCAGAGGAAGAATCTTCCATCCCGACTGACTGCTGACGTTCCCGAAGTTAAGAGGAGAACGAGTCCAGTGCTTCTTGAGAGACCGAGAAATGGGACAGGATAGCAAGGAGGAAATCATGACTGACGGTATTGAAGGCCCTAAGCATTTTCCATTGCCATCTTAATATCGCCAGTCACTTTAAGAAGAGCAGTAACCGTGCTATGGCCCGGTCGAAACACCGTCTGAAGAGGACTAAGTAAGTTGCTACCATAAATAAAGTGGGAGAACTGTTTGTGGACGCTGGCTTCAAGCACTTTAGGGAGGAAAGGAAGAATAGAAATGGGACGAAAGTGAGTGGGAAGAGAAGGATTGCAAGTTTTAGGTAATGGGCGTACATACGCTTTCCGCCACAAAGAAGGAAATGTGCGAGACATGAGGGAGAAGTTAACAATGTAGGAGATAGCGGGGAGGAGGTGGACTAGCAATGTGGTGATCATTCTCCGACTAATGCCATTACAACCAACCGCTTATGGTTTATTAGATAGGACAATTTTCTTAATCTCTCCCTCTGCGACTGGACCAAAGTAAAAGGGCATAAGTTAGGGTGCGGTAAACCATTGATATAATTAAGGGTATTATGTTCAAATTGAATGTCCAACGTGAATGAGTATACATAGTATACATAGTATACACGTGGTCAATCCGGTAATGATAATGATGATAAATAATGACGGAGAGAAATTATACCGTAAGGTTACTTTCACAGTTGACAATTGATTTACTGCGCAATAAAAATATTACAAAAACGACTGTTGTCATGTTGTTAATAGATCGCGGATAGAAGTTATTACATTTGGAAACAGTGTCCAGTAAACCATATTGTTTTTGCAATTGGTTCCTAATTACCTATGTCTCTCTGTGATCCTGTAACTTTTGTTAACAGATTAGCAATCATCTTATTCTGTCCGTGGACTGTATGGTTACTAAAAGTTAAGTAGCACGAATTTTGAAGTTACTTCAACATTCAGTATGAATGGCAAAGAGTGTACTACGAGTAATATCGACACGTAAAAGTAAATAAATTTAATTTATAAAATCATTAAATCGTCAGATTTTTCTGCCCATTGAGCGAAATAAAGCGCGTTGTGGCAAACACAAAAAGACTACACCGCCAATGATGTATATTATATGGTTGGTACGTGTCATTGTACACCGCGAAATTCCTGTTATGTTATAGGTACCTAGTTCTTGATTGCAACTATCACGCATATTATCCAATAAAGGTACATTTATTCATTATTTTTTAAAGTTATTATTTAAGTTTTGTTTTACATTGGATGGAATAGAAATTCTAGCTTTCTACATTTTATCTACCTATGAGCTTTAAGTGGAGATTCCAAATTTCACATCTGTTTCAACGAAATTAGCTCAATAAGACTATAATAAACTTTCTTCACATATTAATATATATCTCCACAAAGATGTAGATATTAGTAGGTGTAGATAAATAAGCAAAAATGGTTGGTCAGTTGTTGCTAAATTTAATTGCAATACCCACAATTTTGTTATTTTCGTGCAATAAAGTCAATTCAACAGCTGCACGAAAGCAGAACGAACGAACGGGGAAAAGAAAACTGTCGTGTTATACGTCACAAATACCCACCAGTGCCCGTTATTTATGATAACAGTGTTAATGCTGTTAATTAGCTATTAGACTAGTATAAAATAATATCATGGCAATATATATAACTAAGGTATAGTTTACGACGTAGGTACAGCACCGATTGTAAAGTTTGATACTGATTAGAACCGAGGAAGATAAAATCACATAGATTTTCAAGAAGCCTAAAAATTCAGTCTAGACGGAGACATGCTGTTGTTGAAATGACAGTAGGTATCTAATCATAGAGTTACGTGGCGATTGTGCGTGTAGCTATCTATGTGCATATTGCGCACGAAACCGTTTATTTCTCGACCAAGGTCACCATTGTTAGTTTCATAGTACTCATATAAAAGAACGATAGTTTAAATCTATAAATGTAATATATACCATCACCACATCACTTCAACAGCATTTAATGGTCCACTGGAAATGGGCCTCTCCTTAAAAGTAGGTTTTGGCCTATTACACCACGCTGGCCAGACGGGTTGGTATAGGATTTGTTTCCAAGTTTTCCTTCTCTTTGCAGTCCTGATATCTTGTATAGTTTGCACTCGTAGTCGGCTCTTACGACACCCACGGGATGAAT